GATTTCATTTTACAGCTTTATTTCCAACTGTCACACAACACTATTTATCCGTCTTATTTGTAGCTATTACTTTGCTATAATCTATGGAATTTTGGCTTTCTTTCTTGGGTACTGAAAGATAACTCTAAACACGAACAGTTCATCCTGCGAAAAGAGTACAATCGAAATGGGAACTGCCAAAACCGCTCAACACCATCAACGGTCACTCACCACAACGTTGTGGTCAGAAACATATAATTCTGACTCGGAATAATATGGAAGGGGTGAACACTTGCGGTGATGGGAAAGACCGAGGAACTGCACACTGAAAGCTTTCTCACACCACTAAACTTTCTTCCAAAACGGTACAGCCAGAAGATGGAATATAAATTGTTACACTACTGTGTGATCATAGTAATTTGGTAAAATGTTTTTGTTTAGTTTCCGGATAAGAAGAGTTGACAACTCTTTAATGGTATGACCAATCTGTTTCCTTAAAACTGTTGGTAAGCTTCAAAATAGTAAGCTTCTGTAAGTCAGTTTCAGCAATTCTCTCAAATAGTTTATGAGCCATTTGTAACCGTGCTACAAATGATCTTTATATCTTCTGAAACTACCCATGCCATTTCTTGAGCCAATTGTGAATCAAATATTTGAATGATAAATTCTTCAAACTATTAATAAGAATAAAAATTGACAACAGTTTACAAAGATTTTTCAACACAGTTCATTATAGAAATTTCAAGATATTTCCCTGAATTGGTGAATTTAACTGATACTCTCGGCCAATTTCCAAAACACCCCAGGAAGAATACACCTGGATCACGAATACTCGAAATTGCGTTTCCAACAACCAGTTTCGAGACCGATTCGACTCGATTTACTACTGTTTCTAGAGGAGCCTCGGGCCACGTCCGGGGTCTTCGCAAAGGTCCTCGCAGTTTGAAAAGTTCAGCATTTGGTTGTTGTGCAACGGTGATTATCTGGACGTCAAAGTTGCGACATGAGGTACAGTACAAACTGACTCGTGGCCGATACAACACGGGTTAAGTGACAAGTAAACATGTAGACTGCTACATCGCATGCATCGACAAGGGGGCAGAGTTGGTTGGGATGAAGATGTCGAAGAAACATTACAGGCTTAATGGGTTTTGAATCCTAGCTATCAACATAGGTGGTGAAGTGTAGATAAAAACACTACAATATCTCACAGCCACCTAAGATAAACCTGCATTAACTTTACAATACCCCTGCCGCAGCAAACCTGCAGACTAAGCGAATTTCCATTTGCCTGATTGGATTTACACGAAAATGTCTCCTTAAAAATATCACATTTATTCCCTATTTAAATGACAGCTTAACAAGTACTTGGGTTATTTGCAACAGGGAGGGTAAAAAGTGTTTTGTTGTTAAATGTTATTAGTTTAGTATGAAACAAATGAATTTCCTAAATTTGATCAAAATATGTTCATAAACAAGCAAACTACAACAGTGTATACAACCGTACTTATTATCCATAAGAATAACATGAGAATTTTAAATTTACCATTAGGCGCATAATAACGCTTCAATGTACTAAATTGTTTTTTTTAAGCTCTAAAATATGGTTTGGAAATAAATTGCAAAATTTTATGGTGTTAGGGTTAAAAAATTAAAAAAAAAACAAATAAACCCCCGTTCCCGTAGTCCGGTCATGCTGGTTCGCGAACTCGTTCGAATAAATTTAGGTTTACAGGTTTATACCAAATTTCATCAAAATCGGATCATTTTTGCTCGAGTTATCGCGCTAACGGACACACACATATATATATATATATGCATTTGAACGGATGGTATTTTTGGCCTCGAGGGACCTCAACACGAAAAAGTAAATCGGTCCCGGGTCTATGTCTTACCATGAGACCTTCGGGAATAGCTTATTCCCTAAATTGGAAATCCGCGAATTAATTAGCGAATTAATTAGCTTAATACCGGCTGTTTGTGTTGATTCACCAATAGGAACTATTTGACTATTGACACATTACCACCAAGTGTACAAAAATTTGATTCTAAGTAGCAGTACATGAAAATTAAAGTCCTCACAGTTTACTCACTACTAAACGCGTAACATATTCTAGAGACTTGAACGTAAGAATTGTGAGATTGCTCGTCAAGCTACACCAAATAGTTTAAACACAGTGATGTAAATATATTTAGGTTGCATAAAACACAATGAATGCTGAAGGAGTAAAAGACAGACCTCATAGAGCATGTACCCTTCTTACTAAGACCAGTTGTTTTACAATCGAGGTTGAAGTTTGAAGCAGAATATAACAAACACCCTTAGTAAGCAACCTTGAATAATATTTGAGGGAATGATATTCCTAACAGCTGATCAACAACAGCTGATGGTCAGCTAATGTGTGCCACGTGATGTCCGAGGAAAGGCGGCCCAGATGTGCGCGTCGCGACGGAGAAAGTAAACCATCAACCATCGTGATGGTCTCCGCCCCCCAGGCTCAGCGCATTCGAGGTACACTATCGTCCGGGGAGATCGCCGGTGCCTGGGGGTAGGCGATTTGCCGTTGGGCGAGGAAGTGATCCAAGGGAGTGAAAAAATTTAACTTTGGTGGTCCTGCGACAGGATGGAATTAAGTTCAAGCTTGTTTTTAGAGAGTTTGCGAGAATTACATTACCGTGTGCGTGTGTTTTTTTTTATAAAGAAATTCATAAATGAAGTGCACAGGAATTCAATAAGCAACATTGCATGGTTAAGTCCTTCGTTTGTAATTCAACATGGAATTAACGAAACCATTTAAGCAAGATTTCTACAACTTATCCTCCATCTCTACTTACAATAATACCTCGATACAAATGCCCTCGCCAGGAGAAGCCTTTGATAACAAGACTCTTATCACAACACACTAGAAAGTGACGTGTGCTCCCGCTATCTCCGCGTTCCGCCACCTCCGAACCCAAATCTGTCCCGCCACCTCCGAATTCTTGAGTGACCCTTATAATCCCGTCACTGCCTGCGTTGGTAGCTGTCATTGCATCCACGGGGCTTCGCAGCCGCGAAGCCCCGTGGATGGGAGATTTAATGAAAATTTAACCCGTGGGTTAGGTTAGGTTGGGTTGGATTAGGTTAGGTTAGGTTATGTTAGGTTAGGACGGGAAGTCAGGTAGTAACCAAGGATTATAGGGGTCACTCTGAAATTCGGAGATGGCGGGACACGGAGGTGGCGGGACGCGGAGATATCGGGACGCGGAGATAGCGGGAGGTAACCGAAAGTGATACTTATGGCGTTTGGTTCTTTCTTTTACGATTATTCTCGTTAAATGCTTCCTTTATAGTGTGCTAGGTTATTATTCCCTTCGAGAGTCGTGATAGCAAAGGATCGTGCCTAAAAATATTGAATTAGCATCAAAAACTTTAGTGAAAATTGTCAGCAAACCCATATCCCTTTTTTCTACAAGCATACAGACAGTTTCAAAATTATGAATAGATCACCTATTATTCAATTTCGACTGTAGGCAGGCCTAGTAATTGCCCTGCAAATCAATCTAGACAACGTTGCTCTTCAATATTGTTTATTTGTTAGAATTTTGTTGTCGTTTTATCGTTCGTTATCAATGGACATTAAAATTCACTTTAACTCCTACAAGAAATCTCCTCACCTGTTTACTAAAGCTTCAAAGTATGTTTACTAAATATATCATTTTAAAAGGATTAAAGTCAAAGTCTCCTTTATAGCTAATCGTATAAACATATTTTATCTATGAAAATATAATCATGCTATTTGAAAGACAACTCTATTCTCAAGGGTGAAGCTAATATCGATAAATACTCTAAGCGATTTAAGAAGGGGTAAGATGTCGATTCATAAGAATATGATCTTGTGGCTAAACAAAAATAAACTACAGACTGGTGTAAAAATTTTTGACTGGTAAAAATTTCAGAACATTCCAGGTTTCTAGCAAGGGAAGAACAAGATTGCATTTTGAAACAATCATGTTTCAAAATGAAATCTTGTTCTTCCCTTGCTAGAAACCTGGAATGTTCTGAGCAAGTACGGATAGTGATTTAATTCTTACTGGGATTTAATCAAACCTACCAAGTGTTGTGTAATTTGTCGTGTTATGTTATGCCTCTGGTTTTAAAAAGTTCAATACTTTGTTAAAAATTAACTGGTTTTTATTTATTTCTGAAAGACTTTTTTGTCTTATTTAATTTTATAGTCATGTGTTGATTTGATTTAAAATGTAAATAAAGTTTACTTTGCTGTTATGGTTTATCATAAAGACAAGCTCATTTCTTAGTGTGAAATGTTATTTGTCATTTCTGATTTTAATCATTAATGACAACGTCCGTGATGTAATATACGAGGGAATCGCGTGTATTGACGACTTCAAATTAGCAGTAAGTATATTCTAAATTTTCAAATTAATATAACTATTGATGACAAAGGTTTACTTAAATTGAGTGCGGAAGAACTACCCGAAGAAGGCTATGTTCCAGAGTTTGATTATTCCCTATAAGAAACTGTGGCATTGATATAACTATTTGTACAAACCATTAATATTTAAAACTTTACATGAGATTCAGAAATAGGTGGTTAACAATTGTATTAAGATTTTTAGGTTAACCACGCTGCAATTAGCTTTTCGATGGTCCAAGCTGATTACAGTCCGGCACTTTTATAGTTTATTTTTCTCACTTGTTATCCAAATAAAATATTTTACAGCATCAACTTTCAGTAGCCTTGACCTTTTGCAATTCATGGTATTTCCTAATTTTGCTCATACAGTATTATGCATCTGAGTTCACAATACTTGTTCTTATCACACCACTTGTTGAAATCACATGTCGCACACACTTTGGTTCTCTGAAACACTATTTCTCGGACAGCTTTATTCCAGTTAGTATTATCAACTTATAAAAACGCACATTATCATTAGGCCTACAGGACTTAATTTAAATTTAGCATGGAATATTTGAAAATGCGCTATATTTTTCTGTTGGCGATCTTAGAACTTCTTACCTTTCCTGCAGGACAGCACTGAGGTCCTTGCAAAAGTCTCCACCCTGCTTGATATACCGGCGAAGTTCTTCAAATCCATTTTGTCCCTGGAACAAAAAACACCATTATTAGACAAACTAGACTATTCCCCTTGGGTAGTTGCCAAGTCATTGACGTTAAATAAGTCAAATTCGACCCTCAATTTGCAAAGATTTTCAGCATGTTGACAGTGATGAAGACCTTCCCTTAGTGTCCACCACTATATCACTAACCTTATCACTAGTCACTACCACTACCAACATTTACCTGCAGTACACACTTGGTAAACCTCCTGATAGTTCTGCGGTTCTTGGTCCTCTCTATCAGCTGGGAGGACGTGGAGGATGACCTTCTTTCGGACTCCATCACTAGATCCAATATCACTAGATTTATCACCAGTCACTATCACTATCACACCTTTTAGTCACACAATATGCATCTCATACACAAATGAACGCTGACTTTACCCGGGTAAATGTTGGCTCTGTGTGGAACTTATGTTCATTTACTGTTAATTATGTTCAATAATTGACAGAAATTGATGTTCCTATTTTGTGAATGCTGGAAAGAACATTAAATTGTTAAACGTGTGTTTACACAAAATTTGGTGGGCTGTTCAGAAGTTTTATATACTTTAATTTACTTATTACTCATTTTTTATGTTGTAGGTACATTAGTTTATATTCTGTGCCACAATCACGTCGAACTAGGGTGTGAAGTTTAAGGTAAAAAGGAGTAAAAGACAATTTTTGTATAAAATATTATGTTATTGTCATGTTACTGGCTAATCTAATCCAGAAACGCCACCAATAGATATATAAAAAATCAATAATCCTTACTTTTAAAAGTTATTTTTGCAGCAATGCTACTTGGAAAAAAAATAAAATTTTTCCCTTGGTGGATGTTTACTTGATCTTAAACTACAATTGTGAAGGATTAAGGACATTTTGTATATCATGTTTACCTAAAGTAATTTATGTTCTTCATTAACGCAGTAAAAAAACCTTAGGCTTTAATTTGAAAATTTGCAAAAGATTTAAGCTGATTCCCCTTTTCTGTGAGTGGTTCCACCTTCACTGTTTACGGAAACGGAAACTCCACCAAACCTCTTATCACGAACTGCAATGTACTTTAACATGATAACAAAATGCGGATGACGCGAATGACGTGAGCCCGTACCTCGAGCGTCGCGATGCGATGGTTTCACTTTCACTACACGTCGGATACGTACGTTAATGGGTGAAACGAAACGATGCTCTCATTGTGAGAAGTGCTGTCTGATCCAAAACGTGAGACCTGGGTGTTAAAAGTTCTCACTTTGTTTCCCCCTCAATAGGCTGTTCTGTCTGTCAACAGTTCTCATGAATTGTTACTAAGTAATGTGAGTAATTTTGCTTTGTGCCGGAGAGATAGTAGTAAACATTGGGGAGTTGGATGTGGTATCAACTTCTCTCTTGGATGCCAAAGTTTATTTTTTGGAGGTTAAAATAACCAATATAACAATTTCTTTTTAGTTGTGATCATATTTGTATGACACCAACACAACGAGGGGGTGGCAAAGTGACGGTGTGAAAAAAATAGTTTTGAATTAAGTTGATAGTTTTTTTACTGGCTTACATCAGCTGTTTCAATCATCAAAAGCCCAAAGATCAAGACAAGATCTGAATGATAACCCAAACCAACATTATGATTAGTAGGCAAGCCCGATGATAATATCTCCTCACCTATCTAACGTTCAACGATCACCATAGAAAAACTGAAGATGCTCGTATATCTATCAAGGTGAATAATAATGACAGTCAATAAAATTATCTCGATACAAAATGTTAATAAGAGCTGGGACCAGAAAACCCAGAATTTTGTTTGGATAAAATTAGTTTCAAAATATAACTTTCTTTACTTTGTATTGGACTAACATACTTAACCTAAGAAAATCTTGAACCCTAAACATTATCATCTGCTAATAATCACAAATACTCAATACTCAAATTTCTTGAGCACCAAATAAACGCACAAAAGAAATGCAATATTATGCAATAGCCTACTTCTGTATTAGACTTGCTACGATGTTTACATTTTTTTATCGGGTCCGGTGATTGAGAAACTCTTTTAAAATGTAAACCTATAATTAGCTGGCAACGCGAAAACAACAGCTTTTGCGCAGTTTGGATACTGATACTGCTCCACTTGAAGATTGAAGAACGAGATTCTGCAGCGCGTGTAGAGCCAGTTCAGTTCGATAACCTGATTTATTCGAACCCTTAGCTAATTCGGCGCACCTGTTGTAGCAGTTACGTCAGCTGATGAATGTTCAGACACGAGTCTAACTAGAGCAGGGCCAACCGTTTACGGACCAATTACACCACCAATCAGATCGGATCGGATTCAGATTCACTATGAACGATATCAGTAGTAGATGGAAGAAAGTTGAGTGTTTATTGGTAGCTTCAAACCTGAATGTTGCTATAGTTGTCGAGAAGAAAATCGTAATGCAACGAAAAGTGCGAAATGAATTGAACACAACAAATAATAGGAAGTAAGGGGCCACCATCTGGAAATTGAAATTGGAGCGATAATTCTTCAAGAGAAAGGCAAATCGGAATGAAAGTGAAAGAGTGGACAGAAAAGAAAGGTTAAGACTATCTTGATCGCATATTCTACATTTATCATTGCATATCACGTATACATGCCAGACCGTAATTATAAATGAAATCTTTGAGACTGCATATATAAAACAAACTATGTTTTATACAACAATACAAAATTTACTTAATTACTTTACTTTATTGGGGCCTGTGTTTTACTTCGATACAAGTAATTTGTTTGTAGTGAAATGTCTACACAAATTCTCTATAAATTGACCTTTCATTCGGGTCGGAAACTTTAGTTGAAGACATATTTTGTTGAAGGGAAAGAGCCTGAATATTATCAGTCTTGTGGATGCTGCAGGAAAGAACATTGCAACTAATAAAAGCTTCAGTTTCAGATCAGAATTAAATTATAGCAGACTAGGTAAATGTTACTGCTTATTACCAAACTCGACGATTACTCGAAATGAAATTGGCCACAAAAAACAAATTTTCAGTCAAATCGTTTTGCTTCTGCAAACGGTCTTCGAAGAAAACCCCCGATAAGAATTGTTTGATTGGCATCGAATCAGGATAGAAAGCCCAAGGCGTCGATGTGTATCAGCTGGGGCAAGGGCTTGTTTATATCCCATTAGCGTTGACACCGTGACGGCCAGAGAAAGTGTGATGGACGGAAGTGCTGCGGTTCACCGTGGGTCAGTCGGAGGCAGAGACAGTAAGTTACTTGTGATCTGATCTTAACAGGATCTAAGGCCACCTCATAACCTTGTATGGAAAAGAAAGCATTGTGATTTGTGACAGGGCGATGTTGATGGAGAATATTGGGGATGTGAGTTAGGATGGTGCAGTTTCTGCTTGTATTTTCCCTAGAAGATGACATCAATTTGTCATTAGCCGAAGAAATATTTATTGGTTCTTGTAACTAATAATTATGGATAACTAGCTGTAACCCGCGGGCTTTGCCCCGTTTTTTTCTCGGCAGATTAGATGCCACAGAAAATAAGGAACCCTAGATTGCATGGACGAGGATTTTCATGTTTTCGATTGTTTTATTGGGTTCAAACTTCAATAAAACCTTAAAAAACGAATCGTAATACTATGTAGAATTGGAGATTGGATTCCACCCGTAGTAAGAAGAGCTGTTCCCACCACTTTGGTAACAACGGTGGGAATGATCTACCACTTGAGGACTCTCAACAGAACGGTACCCAGTGAGCTGCTACCACATCCATTCAGCTGACGGTCCAGGGAGCCGATATCCCTGGGCGATCAGACTATTATCTGCATTGAGATGTCTCGGACCGTTCTGTAACTGTTGGTAATAGTCTTGACCAGCTGTTGCCTCTGCAACCGTCTCACACAGTTGGAGATGTGTTGGACAGTTCATTTGAGATAATGACTCTTTGGTGCTCACTGGCTACCTTTGAAGAGTAGCCAACAGAAATAACGTTACATGGCAGACATAAGAAACCGTTGACACTACTGAACGAAGCAAAAGTTCGTCATCAAAATTTAGGCTGCTTCGTAGCGTACCCACGTCGTTTCAGTGGAGTGACTGGAGGCATCAAACAAAGGGAAAGCCCTGTAACCAAAATTAATGCGCGGTGTAACGAATTTGTAGGCAGATGAGTCCATTGTCTCAGATGAAGCTTCTGTGGGAGTGACTTGCTGCCGCCTCTGCTGCCATGACGTGGCTGAACTGAGGGGTTCATGATGGTACTGTAGGATAGGTGTTTGAGAGAAGGACGATCTACAGATCTTTACATTGGTGATGCTTGTGGAGTATATCTCTATAGCAAGGGATGTACGCATAATGCATGTGTCCTCAGAGAGTGAAGTAAAACACAGTTCTTTGCTTGGTATTGGTAACAAGTCGTCGGTGTGTTGTTTAACCTAGCTAGAATGTAAAAATGACCAGCTTATGAACATTAATCTACCGAACGAGTTTAAGTACTGAGTGTGTGTTGAATCTAGATAGTGAAACTAAGCTACGAGAGAACTGTTGAAGCAATTCTATAGTCTGTATATTATCTAATGTTTATAAGTGAAAACAATATTTGTGTTGTTTACTACAATTTGATTGACCAGCTTAAATTTGTGTTTTTTGAAATTATGTTTACCAACAAATCTTAAAGTTTCTCAAGGAATACTTGTTTATTTAAATTACACCTTCTCATACAACATACAACATTCTAAATTACAACACTCATACTTAAATTACACGATCTCAATAACTACGTTGTAAAGTGTTGCCCTTTATTTTGTCACAGCCTGGTCGATGTTTGTCAGAAACAAACTACTGGTACACAATAAGTGCCAATTCAAAAATATGATCAAAAACTTGTAGCGATTCGTCGGATATTTGTTTTTTAAACATGTCTATCAGCAAATTACCACCTGAACATTCAAATGTGAATTAATAAATCCGTGTCAAAATTCGATCCAATTAATTTCTCATCAGTTACGAAATATAATCATGA